AGACATCCTCCCTTGCTAGTGGCCGTGGACGTGTGAATCATGTGATGCCTGTGGAGGACTGTGGGCATGGGTGGGACACCTGATGGGAGCAGTGGCATCTGCTCTGTCCCCAAGAAAAACAGCCCTGGAGGGAACCAGGCCTTGGCTGAGTCCCCCAGTGTGAAGCTGTGGATGGCACCGTTGACCCTCTGCATGGTTCCTGCTCACAGCAGGACAGCAGTCAGCGTTTGGAGCGTTTTCCAGTGCTATGCCCTCTACTCTGCATGTATTTGCCACTGGTGGTCCTCCCAACAACCCCCTGGGCCAGGCCCTTCACTTTCCCAATTTTCTGTGAGAACCTGAGGTTCAGAGGGGCTTTGGCCCTTATCCTGCTGTCCTTACACATCCTGGTATTGGGGCGGGGGGGATGGGACAGATGTGTGCCTGGCAGGGCATGAGTACCCGATATGTATTGAGGATCCATATGTCACACACACACACATACACATACTGTATATATATATATATACACATATATACACACACACACACATGAGTGTAACAGACATTATACATAATGCACATATAATATCTGGGGTGGGGATTTTCAGTCCCAGTTTTCTAGGGCAACATATTTTTCATGTTAAATCTTGTCCTGTTCCTTCATGACTTACATGGCTGTGCTAATTGTTTGCACTTTGGAAATACGCTGTTCTTTGTCCTTGACTTGAGTGAGCGCAATGTTTCTCCCAGTAGCAGTGAATGATTGGTGATGCCTGGGTACAGCTGTGACGGTCACCATTCATTATGGGGGATGCGTCGGTATCCAGGGAGCAGAGGTGGGATGCTGCTACACATTCTCTTCCCTGACAGTGACCGGTCCCCAAGCGTCAGTTGTGCTGAGGCTAAGGGGCCCTGCTCTAGGGGCTGGACTGAGGGACTCCCAGGGTCCATAGGGCTCCACCAGTTCTGAAGAGCTGGTTGGCAGACTAATCCACAACAGTGAAAGGGAGCAGCCTGCCTGGGGTCACAGGTGATCTCCCCATGGGGCTCCAGTGGAGATGCACAGGGCTCAGGCCACATGGTATTGAGCCCAGTGCGGGGGCACAGCAGACGATGAACAGAGATCAGCTGTTACCGTAAGTGGTGGCTGAAATGCACTGTACTCTGGTGCAGTTGTTTCTTGGTGGCTGTGGAGGGGGTTGGCTCTGGCACCCCCCACTGAAACCACAATGTGAGGGTCCTCCTGTCCTTTACATAAAACGGAGTGGGATTTACCTAGAACCCACACGATCCCCTCGTCCACTTCAGATCATCCCTGGGTTACTTACACACAGCATCAATGCTAGGTAAACAAGTTTTATACTGTACCGTTTAGGGCATAATGACACAAATGAAGTCAGTACTGTTCAGTGCAGATGCAGTTCAAATATTTTTGATCCTCGGTTGAATTCATGGATGCAGAGCCCTTGGATCTGGAGGGCTGATATAATAATAATAATAATACCACCTAACTTTCTTACAGCGTCTACACTCTTCAAGGCCTTGCTGTAAACAGGCTTCTGATTCACTCATCGCATCCTCAGCAGAGCCCCACGTGGCAGCTGTTCTTATTGTTCCCATTTTACAGATGGACAACCTGAGTCCAAGGAGCTTAAGTTCCTCACCCAAGTTCACACCACAGATGGAATCATGTCTCCTCAAGTGCATGCGTTGAAGCCCCACCCCCTGATGTGACTGTATTTGGAAATGGGGTCTCTAAGATCTCAGGGAAGGGTAAATGAGGTTATGGGCGAGGGCCGTGAGACAGCAAAGAGCTCATCTCTCTCTTCTCTCCCTCCAGCCCCCACCATATGAAGACACAGCAAGAGAGCAGCTGCCAGCAGGTCAGAAAGGGGGCTCTGAGCAGAACCCAACCCGGGGGCATCCTGATCTCGGGCTTGCGACCTCTAGGACTGTAACTGATTCTGTGGTGGTCTGGTAATTGAAGCACAGATCAGGAGCTAGGAAGTGGGAGAATCAAGAATCCTTAGAAGCAGATTCTAGAGTTCAGGGTTAACTTTTTACCATTGTCCTTCTCCTGTCTCTTCTGTCATGTGAATCATGTTATCATTCGATGAAATATTTCTCTGTAACATAACAGGACATAGAATACAAACATTTACTGCCTATCCATCTTTGAAATAAGAAATCAAGAATCTGCCTTGTCGAGGAGTGTGGACTGAGCTGGGGCTGTCGTCGATAATCGTGAGGATTTAGCGCCCGGGCTTGGCAGGAGTCCAGGGAGTAGGAGCTGGTTGTGACTAATGCCCACTATTTCTCTTACTCGTGTCGTGATCTCAGTAGCTCCCTGTTCCGACCCATGAGTGAATTCCACTGGGGAGGCTGCCCTGGGACCCCTCTGCCACTCCAGAGACTGATTCCCTTGCTGCTACATGTTAGTTACATGTTTGTTAGTTACATGCGAACCAGACATTCCTCCCGGGAGCAGGCCAAACACCAAATGTGACGCAGCCAGGCCTGGAGAAAGTGCTTTGCTGAAGCTAAATGGCTATCAGCTGGAAGAGGGTGGCCGGTGAAGGGCGGAATGGTGCTGACAGAATTAGTCACTGCGTAAACAAGGAACACCTTTGATCAACGCAGTGGAATGTGTGCAAACCGGGGGCCTCCCTCGCCACCCAGCAGAGGGCAATGCCAACATGGCCAGGCTGGCACACCCCGCAGAACCAGCCCTCTGGAGGCAAGGTCGGTACGTGGATGAGCAGAGAGAACAGGCCTGCTCTGCCAGGCCCCACCCCTGCACTCCCCTGTGTGTCCAGCACAGCACCAGTACCCATGCACTGTGTCAGGGCCAGCATGCACAGCGGTACAGGCTGCGTCCACTCTAGAGGCTCCCAAGGGACTGAAGCCCCTCGACATGCTCCCCAGGCCTTGGTGTGAGACCTCGTGCATCCAGGGAAGCGGTGCCTGCATTAGAATTTTGGCATGCTTGGTGATGGAGGCATTGCTCCTGGAGCTCAGCCATTTGCAAAAGTGCTTGACGATCTTAGAAGGCTTGGGAGTCACTCATTCTTCGAATTGCACTGAACCTCATTAAGCCAATAAAGAGAGCAGATAACATTACTTGAAGACTTAGTGTGCACCAGACAGGCACACAAGGCAAGGAGACCTCTCCCTTAGGCTCGGCAGGTGCAGAACCATCAACAGAGTGAGCCCCTCTCTGGTTCGTGCCCAGGTCTCACATGCTCCACCCTAGTCGAGGCCTTGGTGCTTGGAGCGTCATATACATTTCTTTCTTTCGCTCGCAGGGGCCCATTAGTCCCTCATTATACAGATAGGGGAAACTGAGGTTTGGTGATGCAGTCCCCCTGCTACCCAAAGCGAGCTCCATGAGGTCAGCCATCCTGTTTGTCCTGCCTGCCCACAGGGAGTCCTCAGTTCTTATTTGCTGATGAAGTGAGCAAAGCAAGCTGTGGTGAGGCCGAGCTGGGGTTTGAACCAGGTGCAGGCACTAGAGTCCTCCGATCCTTAACCGCCTCCCAGCACAGCACGTGGCTGAGGCGAGTGGAGTCTCCTGGCGAAGACTCCAGCAGGACCGCTGCACCTGCGTGGGGCAGTCAGCCCTCCCTCGCACATGTGTCTCTTGTCACCATAAACCAGCCAGGATGGCTTGAGTTGCAGGCCCATTGCTTTCCCAAAGCACACATCTGTTCCTAAAAATAAGTCTCCTGGCATCTCAGAACTCATTTAAAAACAGAATCCTCTGTGACTGGGGACATTGACTTATCCCCCTGCTGTCTCCTAGCCTGGAGTGACCTGCGAGTAGCTGTTCTCTGCTTTTTGTGCAGGGAGAAAGCCCGACACGCACGTACCCGAGGGCTCCCAGCCAGCCAGAGGGAGGCAGGTCAGGTGCTGGCCTGCAGTGCAAAACTTCAGGGACACCAAAAAAAAAAAAAAAAAAAAAAAAAAACCCTTCTTCACCAGATGTGTAACAGTTTAACACAACATTACAAAGTCCAAACTCAGGCTGTTGCCAGTTCCATCTTTCCTTACCATGTTGAAATTTTGTCCGTGATGGCTGGCTGGACATTGATTTTTCATTTGTAAGTGGTCTTAAAATGTGACTTACTTGGATGACTGAGGTTTGGGTGGCCCTTGGATTTTGCACCCACTGTGAATGCCTCCTTGTCTTCCCCTCTCCCCAGTCGCAGCTGGATCCCAGCTCTAAGCTTCCTTTCTGTGAGATCTGGGAAGCAGTGCCTTCCTGTCTCCCACTGAGCCTTGCTCTCCCAGTTGGGAAGTGGAGCCGCTGGCAACAACAAAGCCCACGGCTAATGGCTGTTGGGTGCTCAGGTGTCGTTTGCACAGTCCTGTTATTATGCCCATTTTACTGAGGGCCCCAACGTCCCAAGCCAGCCCTGATGGGGCAGGGCCTGTCATCCAGGCAGCCAACCCCCTAATCACCAAGGCTTTCCCAAGGCTGGAAGTCGAGGTACAGAGGGTGTTGCAGATATTCAAAGCTCAGCAGCTGGGGTTTGAATCTGGCACCTGCCTCACTAATTGTCTTGAATGTAAAGGACGTAATTCATGGGAAGAGCCAGCTTCCCAGAAGGCATCAGCAAGTCTCCCTGCTTCTTTAGACAACGCCCTAGGTGCAGAGTCGAGTCCGCTGCGCTCTGGGGTATTCTTGCCCTAGCAGTAACCCTCGTATTGCAGAGCCCACACCCCCTCCGCTGACTGCTGCTCCCTGCATCTCGCACCTTCAATGACCTTTAGTAGTTCCATGCAGACAGGATCTGTCAGTGTTGCTCAGACCTGACACTGCCCGCATTGTCATTAAGCAACACTATTAGGAAGGTGTGTTCTTTGAGTCCATTTCACAGATGGTGGAACTGAGGCTCACACATACCCAAGGAGCTGAGGCCGAACTCGACCCTCTCTCACCCCCTGGCCTCTGTCTTCCACTGCCAGTCACATACAACAAACCCTCAAGCCATGCATACAGATCTGAGAGCGGTTACCTGTTGGCCCCCTCCTGGGAGTCTCTCCAGGCCCCTGGTGTCACTGGAGCTGCTCCTGCTCAGGTCCTGTGTCTTGAGCTGGTTGTGCCCAGTGCCAGACTGAGCCAAGCCCTCTGCTTCCCCGTTTGCAGCCTGAACACACAGAGCAGGGCAAACACAAGCCTGGGTGGAGTCCTCCCCACCCGGCCTAGGAAACAGCTTCTCTTCCTGGACTGGCGCTGCCCTCCCCTCGCCAGTAACAGCTGAGCACCTGGTTTCTCGTGCATTCATGCTTCCCTGGCACTCTGGGCATGCCGCCCTGTGCCCCTCACCCACCAAGGCTGCCCAGGTGGACCTCGGTAGCTAATTCCCTTCCCTAGTAACTGTGGGTCGGGTCAGAGCTGGGAAAACATGTTCTGTGAGATTTTGCTGTTCTGTCTGCCTTTCATCTTGATTCGCTCCTCCACAGCCTAACCACCACCTCACCACCTGGTGGAAAGACCAGCCTCTCACCCACTGCACCGCCAGCCATGTAAATACAGTTCCAGAGGCTCAGGACCCTGCAAAACGGTAACTAAGGGTGGTTATTTCTCTGCAGAACAAAAAAGAAATGACACCACAAAGGGCATTCTTTTTCTCTGCTGGCCAGAAATTCAAGAGAGACTATTTAACTTAATTAAGTCCAGCAAAGATAATTATTCAACTTTCTTACAGGGGCCTCAGCAATGCAGTATGAGAACAAAAATTAAAATACAGCAAAAGAAGAGCAGAAGAGAAGAGTGAGGGCATCAAAAGGTATCCAAGTGAAAAATAAGTATACATATTTTCAGAGTTTTTATGAAGAGTTCACACATGTGGCTTTGAGCTTCCTAGTAGCCAATGCAAAAAAGGAAAACATAGTAAGCTATACTACACAGTGCGCTTGAGAAAACAGTCAAGGGAAATGCAAGCGAGTAATTACTGGAGCTTGATTCAGTCGTACGCTTAGGTCAGATCCCCATCATGAGGACTGGGGGAGCACCAGGATACACAGGAGCCTAGGTTCAGAGTGGAGAGGAAAAGAGGCTGATCTCAAGCCTCCGTGGACTTTTCATGAAACTCAGAGACCTGAAAAAATAAGGAATTACAGAGGGGATCCTCATTATAAAGGAACAGCTGCAGGAGCTGTGGCGTAGTAGGCTAAGTCTCTGCCTGCAATGCCGCTATCCCATATGGGCACTGGTTCATGTCCCAGCCTCCTCCTCCAGTCCAGCTCTGCTGTGGCCTGGGACAGCAGTGGAGGATGGTCTGAGTGCTTGGGCCCTTGCACCCACATGGGAGACCCAGAAGCAGCTCCTGGCTTTGGATTGGCTCAGCTCTGGCCATTGTGGCTATTTGGAGAGTGAACCAGAAGATGGAACACCTTTCTCTTTGTTTCTCCCTCTCTGTCTTTAACTCTACCTATCAAATAAAATCTTAAAAAAAAAAAAAGGACCAGTCAAGGCAGTTCAAAAAAAAAAGGGGCAGAGCAAGCCAGAGAACCCTCTTCAGAAAGCAAAATTTAAGGAACAAAAATACTATTCAAATCAATATTGAATTTCCCAACCAAGCACACCATAATTAGGGCTATAAATTTGATTCCAGCTCAGCGTTGTCCATGTAAGTTTGGAATGTAATAACTCAATGACTAAGCAGCTACTGTGGTCACACACCATGCCAGCCAATCAAAGGCGTCTGGCCCAAAGATTCAGGAGCGTGGGGTGTGGTCTGAGCTTTGGGCAGACAAGGGCTTGCGTCTTGATTGCTAAGGACCAGCTGTGTGGTTGTGAGCCAACTGTTTGACTTCCTTGAGTGTCAGCCGGTCCCACCCGGCTTTGGTTGTGAGCTCTTCTGTGTTTGTTTTGCATCTGTTTTTGTGTTCCCAATTCCTGCAAGCTGTAAGGTGAGGGTGACGGTCTTGCTCCCATGGAGCGGGTGTTCACAGGCACTGGCTGACTCGACTTCTTCGTTCTTAACATCACATAAGACAGTGCCATTGGGATGGCATTTTACTCTGTAAAGCCTTTTGCATCCGTCCATCTATCCACCCATCATCCATCCACTCATGTCTATCCATCCATCTACTCATCCATTCATCCAACCACCCATTCATGTATCCATCTGTTACCCATACATCCATCTGTCCATCCACCCAGCTGTCCATCCACTCATCCATTCATCCAATACCCATTCATGTATGCATCTGTCACCCGTACCTCCATCTGTCCATCCACCCAGCTATTCATCCACTCATCCATCTATCCATGTGTCCATCTCATTTGTGTCTACACTAGGATTAGGATATTTTTTTTTAAAAAAAGCTATTTATTTATTTGAAAGTCAGAGTTACAGAGAGACAATGAATGAGAAAGAGATCTTCCATCTGCTGGTTCACTCCTGGATGGCTGCAATGGCCAGGGCGGGGCCAGGCTGAAGCCAGGAGCCAAGAGCTTCATCTGGGTCTCCCACAGGGTGGCAGGGGCCCAAGTACTTGGTTCATCTTCTGCTGTTTCCCCAAAGTCATTAACAGGGAGCTGGGTCAGAGTGGAGCAGCCAGGACTCAAAGTGGCATCCACACGGGATGCTGGCATCACAGGAAGCGGCTTTTCCCGCCTGGCACATTGCAGGCCCTGAGACTTAGGATGAGCTGCACTCTTACAAAGAATGTGAAGCTTAGGAATATGAACAACTTAGGCAGTTAGGGGAAGCCGTTCAGGCAGGGCACTAAACAGCCGCTCTAGCAAACTGCAGACCATCCTCTAGGGCTAACAGTCAGTAGCAGGCAGTGGGCGAAGGGCCGGCTGCATAATTTGCAGGACCCAGTACAAAAGGTGAAAGCAAAACTCCTTGTTCTAAAAGTCCAGGGAAAAGTACTATGAAAACTACTGGGTAAAAGAAGCAGCCCACACTAACAACAAGCAACACAGACTTCTGTGACCTCAAAAGGTGAGAGTGACGGACAGCAGCTTTCTTCCACAGCCCCTCTCTGCTTTTCATGTATTGTGATTCAAAGTCATTCTAAGTAATGAAAAATGTGAGAATTCCGTTATTAGCGTGAATTTGACCGTTCATCTGTATAGCATGCAATGCTGGTGGAAACGCAGTGAACTCCTGTGCAGCGTCACCAAAGCACACAGCCCCTCTTTTGTAATCTCCGTGTATCTCATGCTTGCGAAAGCAGCACAAATGCTGTGCAAAGCTGTCACGAGGGTTCTACTTCACTTCTAGAGGGACCAGCCCCAACACTGCCCACCTACAGTCTGCTGATGACAGGCAGGATTCCAAGGAAGAGAGACTTTGGGATGCCCTGTCTGCCTGCTTCCTTCTGTGTGGTCAGGTTCAGCAGCAGTGGTCAGACCCCACAGCAAGGTAGCACAGCTTTGGAGGGCAGCAGGGTGCTTCTGTTGTTCTTGTTTCTGTTTTTGAGATGATTTGAAAGGCAGAGTGAGAGAGAGGGAGAAAGAGAGGGAGATCCCCACCTACTGCTTCACTCTCCAAACGCCTGCAACAGTTTGGGGCTGAGCCAGGTCAAAACCAGGAGCCGGGAACTCAGTCCAGCTCTCCCATGTAGGTGGGAGGGACTCAAATATTTGAGCCATTGCTGGCTGCCTCCCAGGGTGTGCATTTCCAGAAAGCAGGACTTGGGATCACAGTCAGGACTTGAACCCAGGAACTCCATATGGGATGTAGGCATCCCAAGTGGCATGTAACTGCTGTGCCAAACACCCACCCATGCATTTGAGACATTTCTGACTTGAATGGGACGGGTGGGCTCTCTCAGTTCTCAATGCCTCTTGAGGCCTGTTGAATACACATTCATCGTGAGTCCACCAAAATTCTCTGCTTGTGAGAACCACGAATACTAAGTACGAATAGTGGCAAGGGACAACAGACATGGACATTGTGCTTATCCGCGCACATATTAGATTTCCTTATACAAGTTCAAAGACAGCGCAACCAGGAATTCAAGATGGTGACTACAGAGCGGTACACTATGGCCAGGGGGAGGTAGCAGTGTCTTTGGAAGCGTGACCTTCTTGGTGGAAGAATTTCTTTGTGTCAGCATGGGAGGGAGTTGACCCAGCGGAGTTTCTCCCTGCCACACATACTCTTAGGTGGTGTCTCTTCAACTTGGTTCACCTTCCAGTCTTCTTGTGGCATGATCTCCACCCCTCCTCAAATATTGACTCACTCATGAATTTGTCAGCCCTGCTATCAGACTGCTCTCCTGAGAATCAGGGATGGGGCTGCTTCCTTGGAAGTCTCCCAGCATGCCTGCCCTCCCAGTACACCTTCCGTCCTCTCCCCAGGCTCTCATTGCTTTCCAGCTAACGTCAGCAGTGTTCATCACAGGAGCAGGACCCAACAGAGCAGTGTGGTCAGTTGTGTGTGACCTGTGGATGACTGCCCAGCATCTGTCTGGCAGGACATCCACCCTGTGACAGTCCAGCTGACATGTGCCTTTGTCTTTTATTATTATTTTAAAAATATTTATTTGAGAGTTGGAGGGAGAGCTTCTGAACACTGACTCCCCAAGTGCCCTCAATGACCAGGGCTGGGCCAGGCAAAAGCCAGGAGCCAAGAATTCCATCGAATTCTCCCTTGAGAGTAGCAGGAACCCAACTACTTGAGCCAGAACTTGCTGCCCTCCAGTGTGTGCAGTAGCAAGAAGCTGGAATCAAGAGTAGAGCCAGGGCTCAAACCGAGGCACATCAACGTGGGACATGGGTATCCCAAGGTGGATTAAACACCCAGCTCAACTTGGTCTTTTTTGTACCCGCCCATTGCTTGACATTTTTTGGATCTCCTTCTTACAAGTTACCTCATGTGCTTCTTGTTACAGTTCTGATGTAAGAAGTGTCTGTCCAGGTAAGGAGGAAACAGGTTCAGAGAAGACCAGTGTCTTAACGCAAATTAAACCAGAGGCAGGAGAATCCGACCTCTCAAGGCTATACCCAGGGCTCAGTGTCGGTTAGGAACTCAGTGTCTGAAGTTCCAGCCTGAGAAAGCATCCTGACTTCATTAGCTGATTAACTGTGTGACCTCTGTGCCTTGTTTTCCATCTATAAAATGGGTATATTGGCAGCAGCAAAGTCCTAGAGTTGCTGTGGGAATGAAACGAGACGATTCACAGACAATATTCCACATAGTTAATACAATGATACAGGCAC